CATCCCCCAGCCAGACCACACTTCCCTCCCCCCTGCACTCCTTCTGTCCTCCCCCAAGCCATGCACCCTCCCTACCATCTTCCCCCCAGCCATCCTTCCCCAGCCAGGCCCACACTTGCCCCCTCCCCTACCATCTCCTCCCCCAGCCAGGCCACACCCTCCCCTACATCCTTCCCCCAGCCAGGCCACCCCTCCCCCTACCATCCTCCCCAGCCAGGCCATGCACCTCCCCATCCTCCCCCAGCCAGATACCCCTCCCCTACCACCATCCTTCCCCCCCAGCCAGGCCACCCTCCCCTCACCTCCCATCCTTCCCCGCAATTCACCCTCCCTACCATCCTTCCCCCAATGCAACCACTTCCCTCCCCTCTGCCATCCTTCCCCAGCCAGAGCCACACACACCCCTCCCCTACCATCCTCCCCCCAGCCAGACCCTTTCCCCTCCCCTACCATCTCCCCCCCCAGCAGGCCACCCTCCTACCATCCTTCCCCAGCCAGGCCATGCACCTCCCCTGCCATATCCCCCAAGCCTCCCCATGCACCCCTCCCCTACCATCCCTTACAGTACCTCTCTGCCTCTACCTCTCTCCCCTACACCTGTCCTCCCCCCTGAGCCACACCCTCTTGTTCTCTATCTCTCCCACCAGTTGCTCCTTCCTACCATCCTTCCCAACCAGGCTCCCTCCCTATCCTCCCCAGCCAGGCCACCTCCCCACCTCTACCATCCCTCCCCAACCCTCCCTACATCCTCCCCAGCCAAGCCACGCACCCTCCTGCCATCCTCCCCAGCCAGGCCACACCCTCCCCTACCATCCTTCCCCAGCCAGGCCACACCCCTCCCTACTGCCCTACTGTCCTCCCCAGCCAGAGCCACACACCCCTCCCCCTGCCATCCTTCCCCCAGCCGGAATGCCTTTCCTCCCTGTCTTCCCCCCAGCCACACCCCAACACCTCACCCTGTCTGTCTTCGCCCACCCTCTCCATCCTTCCCCCAGCCAGATCCACACCCCTCCCCTACCATCCTTCCCCCATGAGCCACCACCCCTACCTCCCTACCATCCTTCCCCAGTCAGACCTCTCTCTGTCCTCTCCCCAGCCAGATACCCTCCCCTGTCCCTCCCCCAGCCAGGCCACACCCTCCCCTACGTCTACATCCTCCCCCAATGAGTACCGCACCCTCTACCATCCTCCCCAACAGGCCACCCCTCCCCTACTATCTCATCCTTCCCCAGCCAGGCCACACCCTCCCCTACCATCCTCCCCCCAGCCAGGCCACTTGCCCCTCCCTACCATCTTCCCAGCCAGGCCGCATCCCTCCCCACCTTCCCTACCATCCTTCCCCCAGCCAAACCACCCCTCCCTACCTCCTTCCATCATCCCCCCAGCCAGGCCATGCCCTCTACCATCCTCCCCCAGCCAAGCCCACCCCTCCCTGCCCTACCATCCTCCCCCAGCAGGCCTTTACCTCTGCCCCCCTATCCTCCCCCCAGCCAGACCCCACACCCCTCCCCTACGTCCCTACATCCTCCCCCAGCCAGGCCACCCTCCCCTACATCCTCTCCCCCCAGCCAAGCCACGCACCTTCCCTACGTCCCCTACCATCCTTCCCCAGCCAGGCCACACCCCCTACCATCCTCCCCCCACTAAGCCACACCCCTCCCCTGCCTCCCTACCATCCTCCCCCAGCCAGATGCCCCTCCTACCATCCTCCCCCAGCCAAGCCACTGCCCTCCTCCCTACCATCCTCCCCAAGACCAGCCCCCCTCTCATACCATCCTCCCCCCAAAGCCATGCACCCTCCCCTACCTCCCTACCATCCTCCCCAGCCAGGCCCTTGCCCTCCCCTACCTCCCTACCATCCTCCCCCAAAAGCCATGCACCCTCCCCCCATCCCCATCCTCCCCCAACCAATACACCCCCCCTCTCCTCCCTACCATCCTCCCCCAGCCAGACCATGCACCCCTCCCTACCATCCTCCCCAATAAGCCATACCCCTCATGCCTCCCTACCATCTTTTGCCCCCTCCCATCCTCCCTCCCTACATCCTCCCCCCAAAGCCATGCACCCCCCTTACCTCCCTACCATCCTCCCCCAGCCAGACCATGCACCTCCCCCTCCCTCCCTACCATCTCCCCCAGCCAAGCCACTGCACCCCTCCCTTACCTCCTACCATCCTTCCCCCAGCCAGCACACCTTAGTGTAAGTAGTGTTACTGTGAAAGTGTTAGTAATGCTGAGAGTATTTGATAGTGTGAGAAATGTTAGTAGTGTAAGAAAGTGCAGTGAAATGTGAAAATGTTAGTGTGAGATATTGAGTAGTGAAGTGTGAAATGTAGTAGTAGTGAAAATGTTGTGAGAAGTGTTGATGGTGGTGTGAAAAAGTGTTCGTGGTTGTGTGAGGGTTTTTTTTTCACTTGGGTCACGAATGTACATGTATACTGTCGAGCGTTGTTCTGCTGGGTAACGGTGCATGGCTGTGTGTGTGTGTGTGTGTGTGTGTGTGTGTATATAATATATATATATATATATATATATATATATATATATACAGTGACCCCCGGTTAAGAACTCCAATCCGTTCTAGAAGGTCGTTAACCGAAAAAGTTCGTTAACCAAACCATTGTTTCTACAATGGGTTTTGGGTAGTGGTTCCAGCTCACCGAAAATTTCCTAAATTCAACAAAATGGGAAGGTTCACTTACTTTGTGGGTGTGTTTGTAGAAAGGCTCCTGGATGATGATGATGATGATGATGATGGGATTTAGAATGGGGTGGAGAAGGAAGAAGGCATTGGGGTGGAAGAGGAGTACCCATGGGCGCCATTTCACCCATAAATTTTAGCTCTCTTGGTGTAATTCAAGATTATTTTCTTTAAATCAACACTGCATTATATATTGTCAAAATGTAAAATATATTTCAAAATGACCAATAATTTGCTTGGAAACACAGAAAAAAAAGTGTTTAGCTGAAGAGTCTCAAGCAAGATGTTACCTCCAGTAAAAACAGAGAGAGACTAACGCCTGTTTGCTGTGTTAAGAGCTGGATGCCGCGCATTAAATAGTCACTTACCTTCAATTATGTTCAATAATCGTTAAATAATAAAAAAATTGAATATTAAACTTTTAAAATTATTGAATAGTATAAACTTCTTGATATTTACTAAAATAGTAAGAATTTAAGCCCTAGAACGATTAATGTATTCGGACTGATACTAAAGCTGGTTGCCGGTAGTGCAATACGAAAACATGTTGAGAGTCGGTTCGTGAAATTAGTTAACCCATTTTTGTTAGATTAACCATTGAAGATCCTTATGGAAGGCAGTTAAGTAGCCGAAATTTCGTTAACCGGGGGCGTTCGTAAACGAGGTCCTGTATATATATATATATATATATATATATATTTTTTTTTTTTTTTTTTTTCATTAGTCCATATAGCCAGGACTCGAACCCTCGACCTTATGCGTGTGACCAGGGATTGCTACCACCGTGCTACAAGGACACTAAAAGCAATCCTAAACTTTGTTATATTTCACACAAAGCCTGTTCATTGTGCTTATGGTGCCGTGAACCTCCAATTGGGTATTGCCTTTGCCACTTATGTGGTCGGAGTAGCATTTTACCGAATCCAGCCATGCTCAGGATGTCATTCACTTTGTCTTCACAACCTGCACAGAGCTACGAGAAGCCAGGTCTCCTCTTGATCAGGAAGTTGTAATCTTCCTCATCAAGGTCACCACATGCAGTGTGGTACCAGGCACTCCACTACCAACACTGTCTTCCTGCATCCAAGGCATTCCTTGCTCACATTTCTTGAAACGATAACAGACCACCTGGACCAAGACTCACCAGTGGATGTGTTGTACATGGAGTTCTCCAAGTCGTTTGACAAAATCCCATATGCATGACTAGCCTTTTAAGATCCAGGCACATGGCATCACAGGCAAAATTTTGACATGGATTTACTACAGGCAATAAAGAGTGGTAATAAATGGAGTACATTTTGAATGGAAAAAGGCTCTATCCCTTGACCCACCTCGTTTGTGATCTACATAAATGACATAGTTGAAAGTATATTGAGCCTCACGAAGATATTTGGGAAGGTAGCAAGTCAAGATTATGTCACAACAATGCAGAAAGACCTGAATGAGCTGTTCAGATGGTCTCGAGACTGGTAAGTGCTCTTTAAAATTATGAAATGTAAGACCTTACACATAGAATACAACAGCCCTAATCATGAATATTTTATAGCACTTTCCTTGATGCTGTCAATACGGAGAATGATCTAGCCATTGTGATAGATCATTTACTGAAGGTGGCACAACAAGTGAGTGCAGCAGCGAAAAAAGCAAATTGATATTTGGGAATTATGAAGCTTATCTTTGAATACAAAGATAGGAAAATGCTTCTTCAACTGGACAAAACTCAAGTATGTCCCAGTCTGGATTACGGTGTACTGTACAGGCAAGGAAATCCTAACCCTAGAAAGATCAAACATCCCTAGAAAAGGTGCAACACATAGCGACTAAGATGATTCCGGAATTATGTTATCTCAATTATCAAAATTGACTGGTGGGCCTTAGAACTAACAGCTCTTCAGATGAGGTACAATAGGGCAGATCTCATTGATGCATTCAAAATCCTGAAAGGGATGGAAAACAGGAACCCGGGACATTTCTTTGGTATGTCACTCACTACCAACTCGAGAGGAAATAACTACAATCTTGCTAAGTTATCATGCAGTACAATTACAGAGTAAGTATAAGAAAATACTTTTTCACACAGAGGTGGGGTACCCAAACAGTGTAATCAAGAACAGTACTGGGCTTCAAAATAGCCCTAGACAAAATTAACAAGAAAACTGGAGGGATCCTACACAGGCTACTGGCCTTCACTCAGCATGGCCAGCTCTAGTGGGTGGCCATTAGGCAAATAATTTAACATCTTTTTGTACTCTTAATACAATATAGATGGGATGTCATAATCATTGTGATATGTGTTTCAGGGAGTGTATATTGATGGTGTGAAACTTGTTGGTGGATGCTGGATGGGCAACGAAGTTGTTCCTGTTGACCGTGATGTGGAAAACTGCCCCATTATTCTTTCACTTGCTGTTTCTCATGCTGTTCCACCTACCCCTGTGGTAAGTGTGTTACTAATGTATACCTAGCAAACTTAAAGGCAATGATAAACGTTTTCACTATTTTGTAGAACTGTAGAATTTAACGAGTCATAGGTTAACATGTGAACAGTAAGTATCTATCCTCACAATATACTGTATACCACACAAGAGGCATGGCAGGACACTTATTCTCACAACAGTCACCATAAAATTCTTTTTACACTACTTCTCCCACTCTCTTTCCCTCTTCCCTCCCGCTCTTATCCAACATCTTCCCCCTCTTCTTCCATGTTATCCCTTTTCTTGTATGTCTTTCTCTATCCCCACTCACAACCTGAACTTCACTTTGTCCCTTTCCTTTTGTCTTCCTCTTGCTCTTCATGCTGTTTTTACTTATTCTCATCACTTTATCATCATACTCCTCCTCCTCTCTTCTTTTGTCCTTCACCCTTATCTTCCATTCATTACTTCACCCCCCTGCCCTGCTTCACTTCCCTCCCTTCCTCCCCCCCTTAGTGGGAGCCGCCTTGATTTGGTGGGGAGAGGGGGGGCTAGTGAGTCTTGATGATCTGGTCATCAGTACCAGAGGGGGGAGAAGGGTTTCCCAAACTGGGTAGGTCACCGGGAGGGTCCAGACAAAATGGTTTCTATCCTGTTGTCGATTTTGCGAGCAGACTGGCTGCATCGTCCCCAGACCAGACCACCAGGTCTGAAATACTCTCCCAGGTGTTTGCCGTGTAAAGCGTCCCATAATGCGGGAGACAGGGGTCCTGGAGGAGGAGCAACGCCACACCCTGCAGCTTGCAACACACCTCTTTGGTCCCCTATTCCAGCTAGATGGGTGGCTTAGTTGGGCCCGATCAAGTCAGTCGGTTGGTCATAGTGTAGCTAGGGTCAAGCAGGCATCAGGGGACCTGGCACTCCTATAGTCCAGGAGCTGCTGTCTTGGACACCTAGTGGTTACCCATGTACATTTCCCCACTACCCTGGGATCACCAGGGTCCTATCTCTGGCATTGACCTCCCTTGTTGGGCTCTGTGGTGGGTGGGGGAATAAAGAAATTTAGGTTTTTTTTTTTTATGCAAAGAAAAAACTCAAATAACCGTCTAGATACTCTCCCTGACGACCTTGCACCCATCCATGGACGTTCCTCTGGATCATCAATTGTCAATTGCTACATTGCAGCCCTGTCAGATTGAGAAAAGTGGCTCTGGGTCACGACAAATACCCAAGAATAAGAGCCACAGGACGTCCACTGGTTCTGGCACCCTCCATGATGCTTCTACCTGCGAGATCTTACCAGGTGTGTTCAAGGAGGTAGATTTTGCCAAATATCTAGTGTTCTGTAACGTGGAATGCAAGCCTTTAATGGACCTGGACATATTTGATGTTCACAGGTCAATAAAAGAATTTGTGGGAAAGAACCAAATATATCCACTCACCAGGATGGTAGCCTCCTAGTGGAGTTCTCCTTCCCCCGAGGAGAGTGCTCGACTCCGTACCCTGCCTAAGGTACCTAGTGCCCAGTCTCCTATACTCTGCATACCACCTTTAACCAGTGTCAAGGCTGTGGTATTCTCAAAAGAGCTGCTCTGATACTCAGAGGAGAAGCTTTTTGAGGAGCTCCAAGACCAAAAGTTGGTGAGAGTGGGTAGGTTGTGCAAGAAAGAAAATGGCACTTTTAACCCTACACTATTTCTGTTACAGTATTGACATTTGATTGCTTTGAAATTCCAACCTCTATCTCGGTTGCCTGGATCTCTCTTAAGGTGACACCACACATCCCAAACCCTAGACGATGCTTCCATTGTCAGATGTATGGCCATGTCAGCCGCACTTTTTGTAAGTTACGGTAGTTCCTTCAGTATGTGTTAATTGTAATAAGGCCCATGAGGGTAAGAAATGTCCAGGTCCAGTCTGCTGTTATTACTGTAGTGAGGCACACTTGGCCTCTTTTAGTGATTATGACCGTTTCCGAATCAAGAACGAGATACTAAAGATCTGCACAAGAGATAAAGTGAGCTTTGCTGAAGCCAGAAATGCAAAATTTAAATATATCTCAAGTCATGGGGACACCTATGCACAAGTTCTATCCTGATACAAGGCTTGGCAAACTGTTGCTGTGACACTGCCCTAAGAATCATACATACCTGTGTTGAATTCAGCTCCCTCACCCAACTCTGTGCCACCAATTCTCAGTCCTCAAACTTCTCTTGTAGTGGCTGAGGCCCATATGAATGAGGCAGGCATATCTGATATTCCTCATCTTTCCTTCACCAGCCATCCTGGTACTACAAGAATTTCAGCAAAATGTTATCGAGGGTCCTCAGAGTCTCTGGAGGTAGACGATCCTTTGAGCAAGGTATCGATGGTAGAATCGTCCGACTGTTGCCAACAAAGCAAGACCTCTTTGCTAACTTCAGAACCTAATTCTGAGTCCCAGACACTCCAACAGATGTCAGCTCAGGCTGGCATCTCCTCCTCAGAGATGACGACTGATCCTCTTCCAGAAGAATCTGGTGACGAGACACCAGTTAAAATAGAGCTGGCAGCTAGGACCCCTGGCACAGGGGTTACCTCTACGGATCCTCACTCTGGGGAGCCATATCCAAGGATTAACTCTGGTGTGGGTCCACTGGATGAGTCTATATCTGAGTTGTCTCTGGCCACAAAGCCACAGACACCTCTTTAAACCCTGGGGCAGGACAGAAAAGCCCAGTCCCACACAAGTCATGTCGTGGTATACTCCGGTGCATCCTCCAGGCTCCAGCATCCAAACTAAGACTTAGCCTAAATGCCTGTTGAGGGCCACACACTATGGTTACCATAGGCCAATGGAATTGTCAAAGCTTAAGAACGAACTGCGAGGAGCTCCAGTTGCACCTGAGCAAATTCTCCCCTATATGCATTTGTCCTCAGGAGACAATGTGAGGTGCCTATGATCATCCCCCTCCCAGAGGTTATTCAGTTTTTTATTCTCCTCATAATCCAGAACAGATGCATCATGGGGGCACAGCCATCCTTGTCTTTGACAATGTAATAGTTTTTGGAGTCCCAGAGAGCCAGGCAGAGGGAACTGTGAGTAAGGAAACACACGACAAGGTGCTGTTTCAAAATATTTGCACAGAGGTTCTGAAGATTCCAGCAACCCCTCAGGATGTGAGGAGACTGGGACAAAAGCAGGGGGCTAAGCCTCGCCCCCTCAGGATCACACTAGGGAGTGAGGAGGAAAAATGGCAAGTTATCCGGCAGGCAAAAAACTTAGCAAGGAGCGAGGCATTTCGAGATGTATTTATTCACCCAGACCGCACGGTAATGCAGAGGGAACAGCACAAGAAGCTCCTGCTGGACTTGAAGCAGAAGAGGGAGGAGTCGAGAAGGAACGGGGACAGGTGCACATGGGTTATACTCAGGGGGAGGGTAGTGGAAACAAGTGTGCCGACACAGGGCCAGGGGGCAGCAGTGCACCCTCCACCCACTCAACCCCCCACCCGGGAGGCGGCACCGGCTCAGCCTACCGGACAGGAGGGAACGAGCGCCGTGTAAACAATGAAATTTTTAACCACACCCTGCAAAATACAGTGTACTTAGCAAATGCTGCAGCTTCTGAGAATGTGGGTGGAGCGGGTTTATTACTAAGAGCAGAGACGTTACCGAGAACAAATTCTGGCTTGAATGTCATGTACACTAATACCGACACGTTCCTTGATAAGAGGGAGGAGTTTGAAACACTACTAAGAGTACACCAACCAGATATTGTAGGAGTTGTAGAACTGTTGTACAAGAACAGGAGAATCGACCCAGAGGAATGTGAGTTCAGTATTGCTGGATATGACTCATTTACGAACCTAACTCAAGAATCCTGCAGGAGGGGTGTGGTTATCTACGCTAGGCAAGACCTTAGAGCCAGCCAGGCGAGGGTACAGGGAGAGGATGTCTTTGAAGAGTCCAAGTGGTGTAAAATTAAATTAAAGGGAGGGGACTTACTTATCGTCGGGTGTATCTACAGATCCCCGAACTGTGGCCCACTAAATCAAAGGAACTTAAGAACCTTAATAAACAATGCGGCGATGCTCAACCCCAGCCACCTCCTTATCATGGGGGACTTTAACTATGGCGACATCGACTGGAGAAACGAGTCAACCCCGAATGACTTGAATAATCCTGCTACTCTTTTTGTAGAAACTCTGAGAGATAATTTTCTGTTCCAACATGTGAGAGACCCGACACATTACAGAGGGGAACAAACACCCAAGCCACTTGACCTCATCATAACAAACGAGGAGGGTATGGTGGCCAAACTGGAACACCTTGCCCCAGTTGGCACCAGTCACCATACAGTGTTGTCATTCAGATTTAACTGTTACCTAGTTCAAGATAAGGCCAGGCCAAGGTGCAAATATTACAAGGGAAATTACAATGGGATGAGGGAAGAGATGAGGGGTATCAACTGGCCTGACTTATTAAGGTACAAGAACGCAGACACTACGCTGAATATCATAACTAGTAAAATGACCCATTTGATCGATAAATATATACCCAAGACCAAACCCAGTGCTTCTAGGAATACGAGGGGATCCCTACACATGAACCATGCGGCGGTCGACAAAATTAAGAAGAAAACCCAGAAATTCAAGACGTGGGTTGGGTCAAACGATGAGCAAGACAGGAGGATGTATGCAAGAGCCAGAAACCAAGCAAAGATAGAGTGTAGGAGGGCTGAAAAGGAGTTCCAAAGGCTGGTTGCACGCGAGGTCAAGTCAAACCCAAAGGCGTTTTACCGCTATGCAAAGTCGAAATTGAAAACGCGAGTAGGAGTATCAGACCTGAGGCTTGAAGATGGTAGTTACGCAGATTCTGACCAGGATAAAGCTGAGGCATTGAACAGCTTCTTTTCCTCAGTGTTCACAAGAGAGGATGCAACTAACCTTCCTGCGTTTGAGGACAGACGGTTCGACACAGCACTGACCCACATTGTGTTCACAGAAGAGGGTATTAGAAATAAACTGTCCAGGCTAAAG